ATAACTGGTTCATGAGTCAGTACTGATGAACCTAACACACTACTGGTTCATGAGTCAGTACTGATGAACCTAACACACTACTGGTTCAGGAGTCAGTACTGATGAACCTTACACGCACTGATATATCGTGAGTCAGTCCTGATGAACCTTACACATCGGTGATTCACGAGTCAGTACTGGTGAACCTAACCACTGCTAACTCATGAGTCAGGCTTGATGAAGCTTGTCTTGGAGCCTAAAAATCAGTTCCTTGATATCCTGTTGTAGGAGATAGAACAATAAGATTAGTTTAATGTATTCGTCTTGTTAATAAAGTGGCACAATAACATAACTCAAAACACTTTCAACCTACAGTGACACTTGATGTAAGTAAGTGTCTATAAACGTTTCACTAGAATTACTGAAGTAATCTATTAAATCTGAACAGGAATGGAGAGGAAGAAACTAAAGGCTCATAAGTGGAATTATGGAAGAAACAAGCACGAAGGAATTCTCCAAAATGTTCGATAATTGTGGAATTTCAAGGATCAGACATAAGAGCCAGTTATGACTCTGAGTTTTATCCTTCCAATCTCAAGTATATTAAATATAATTTGGAAATGTAAAGTTACGTAAAGTTTGTTTTTAAAGTAATCTAAGTTTTTGACCAATTCTGACAGAAAAGTTGATAGGTTGATTACAATTACACCTACTAAAGTACATATTATTGGTTGGAATTTTAACCTACATATTAGGTTAGGCTTAAGGGCTTAAAGTAAGGTTGTGGTGATCGGATATCTATCTTTGTCATGGTTAGTAGTCTATACAATCACATATAGCTAATTATTAATTAGTATATTTTATTAGATACTAATTAGTTTTTATCTTAAGCTTCGGTTGCTAATAGGCTGCCATCTTCAGGGAAGTCCTGAGAATGATTATTTGTATCTTGGTAGTGTGTACAACTCAAATGACAACATTTGGCTTTGAACAGTTCTGATGGAAAAGTTAAATACATAGTATTGGAAACAATAATGGAAACGCATGTGATGCCTATACAGGAATAAATAACAATGAGTAGTTGAAACTAAATGAGTCGTTAGTTCAATACATTCTTACAAAAAATAAAATAAACCTCCTATTTAATATTATTTAATCTCACACAACCTTAATAATACACATATCATGAATTTCTGCAGGTAAAGCCCATGCTTGGGAATATTCCATCGGTCTTTACATCCAGGTATCACTTCACCATATTTACCACATGCTTTGGAATCACTGTCTTGCAGGAAGATGAATTCCTTCCCACCAGTTATTGTTTCTGAAGGAATGACATGATGGATAGGAATTTGGTTGTACCTATCAACAGTCAAGGTGCCATCAATTTTTTGTAACTTTCGAACACCGTAGGCTCATATTCAGCCCACATTTGAATTGGTTCACCAGCATCATTCTTATATATTTACCGTAAAAGCATTATTCTCTCTGTCATCCAAAAAAGTATTGTTGCCAAACACTGTAGATTCGGATCCATCTGTCCAGAGTTCCGTCTTTCAGGTTTGCTCATCCTATTTTTTAAAAGTATAATATCCATTTCAGTCTTTTGGTTTAATTCTATCTCCTAACCAACACGTTCAATGAGGCCACTTTTTATCATATTATTCTCGAAGTAAACACTCACATCAGTACTTACAGCTAGGCCATTGTGATATCTCACATTCACAGCATATCCCGAGTTACTTAACATGAACTGTTCCTAGGTTCACGTACCTTCTTCACAGTAACTCCTACTGAAACATCAAATTTTCCTCCAATCTTTCGGATGATGTAGCCTTCACTAGCCAACCAAAATGTTGATTTTTACGCGTTTTCGTGTAACATTTCTGTCTTGGGAGCCACGAATGCTATCACCACTAAGTGTCTATCTGTCTATCTATTTGTCCTTTCTTATTTTCAAAAATGCATTATTGTTAATTAAATATAGATAGTGTTTAACTCTTTAATACGATGTAAGCACCTGTTATCCGTTTAACTCTTTAATAAGATGCGAGCACCTGTTATCCGTTTAACTCTTTAATAAGATGCGAGTCCCTGTTATCCGTTTAACTGTCTTAATAAGATGTGAGCACCTGTTATCCGTTTAACTCTTTAATAAGATGTGAGCACCTGTTATCCGTTTTACTATTTTAATAAGATGTGATCACCTGTTATCCGTTTAACTCTTTAATAAGATGTGAGCACCTGTTATCCGTTTAACTGTTTTAATAAGATGTGAGCACCTGTTATCCGTTTAACTGTTTTAATAGGATGTGATCACCTGTTATCCGTTTAACTCTTTTAATAAGATGTGATCACCTGTTATCCGTTTCACTATTTTAATAAGATGTGATCACCTGTTATCCGTTTAACTCTTTAATAAGATGTGAGCACCTGTTATCCGTTTAACTCTTTTAATAAGATGTGATCACCTGTTATCCGTTTAACTGTTTTAATAAGATGTGATCACCTGTTATCCGTTTAACTCTTTAATAAGATGTGAGCACCTGTTATCCGATTAACTGTTTTAATACGATGTAAGCACCTGTTATCCGTTTAACTCTTTAATAAGATGCGAGCCCCTGTTATTCGTTTAACTCTTTAATGAGATGCGAGTCCCTGTTATCCGTTTAACTGTCTTAATAAGATGTGAGCACCTGTTATCCGTTTAACTCTTTAATAAGATGTAAGCACCTGTTATCCGTTTAACTCTTTAATAAGATGCGAGCCCCTGTTAGCCGTTTAACTGTTTTAATAAGATGTGAGCACCTGTTATCCCGTTTAACTGTTTTAATAAGATGTGAGCACCTGTTATCCGTTTAACTGTTTTAATAAGATGTGATCACCTGTTATCCGTTTAACTGTTTTAATAAGATGTGAGCACCTGTTATCCGTTTAACTGTTTTAATAAGATGTGATCATCTGTTATCCGTTTTACTATTTTAATAAGATGTAAGCACCTGTTATCCGTTTAACTCTTTAATAAGATGTGAGCACCTGTTATCCGTTTAACTGTTTTAATAAGATGTAAGCACCTGTTATCCGTTTACTATTTAATAAGATGTGAGCATCTGTTATCCGTTTCACTATTTTAATAAGATGTGAGCACCTGTTATCCGTTTAATATTTAATAAGATGTGAGCATCTGTTATCCGTTTCACTATTTTAATAAGATGTGAGCACCTGTTATCCGTTTAATATTTAATAAGATGTG